AGTACACAGATATTAAGTAAATGTCCTAAGGCTAATGACTAGGTGAACAAGGATTATGAACCCAGGATACCCATCACCTCTACTGCAGCACAGACGGAGGCAAAGATGAACTCATTGAGACAAAAAATTAATCAGGTCATAAAATAGGCTGTCCACCACATTTTCCAGCACAGTCTAGATGCAAGTTGGTACTCAAAGAATTGTCTCAACCATGTTCTAGCCATGCTCACCTGTTGCTAACATGACCTTAGGCAAGTCATTTAATATCCCTGGGCCTCAGTTGTTTTCATCTTCAAAATGAGAGGTCAAACTAAATCAGGGATGGCAGACAAAAGTAATTGATTAAGCCACTCCTGCCCACTCTGTCTGAACTTGGGCCTCAGAAGACTTCTCAACCCGGCACATTGGGCATTTACAACCCATTTGTAGGAGCTGACGCTTAGCATGATCTCTAAAGCCAGCAACTTTACCTTCACAGTCTGTTGGCACTAAACTAGCTTCCTGAAATCGTTCTGGTCTCCAGATTTGGCATTCAGACTAACATCCAAGGACAGGGAGCAGACAGATGGCGGCAGCAATGGAAGGCATAGTCTCTATAGATGGGGCTCTGTGTATCCAGGCCTGAGCTACATATACTCACAGTAGAGCATGGAACTCTGGAGCATGGATAAGAGCAGGAACTCTGAAGACCACCTATACTCAGAATCCTGGCCCACCATTTACTAGCAGTATGACCTTGAACAAGTTGCTTAACCTGTTTCTCAATTTCCTTAACTACAAGATGAAGATAATAGCACCTACCACACAGGATTACCATCAGAATTCAATTAACTTAATACAAGTAAAACTCCTAGCACATAGTGTTATATGTGTTGGTATTACTAGAATCCTCAAAACCAACATGCAATAGATGCTATTATTTAACTGTTAAATAATCATGCTATTATGTCCAGATGAAGAAACCGAGGTTCAGAGAGATTAAGTTGCCCCCAGTCACACAGCTACTTAAGCAGCAAAGCCAGCTTCAAATGCTGATGCCAAAGCCTTTGCTTTGCCACAGTGCAGCTCAGCAAACACTTAAATACTTATGAAAAGAATTGATGGTGAAATAAAAGTGATTCTTGATTATCTGCAGGGACTTGCCAACCCGGGGCCGCTGTTACCCTCAGTATCTGCTTATTCCCTGTTGGCACTGCTTTCCTAGCTGGCTCTGGAATATCACCTACTTTAACCCCTTGCCCATCCGCACCATTGGTATACAGAGAGGCAATGGCAACAGATTTGAGCACCAGCCTACAGAAAACCAGAATATACTGCTGAGTCTCCACTTGTGAGAAATGGGAGAAAATCTTTAAGATTCTGATTATTCATCTTCCCCTATCAGTAAAATGAATTTTGCTATTTTTCTAGATCTGTATCTTTTAGGGAATTGAGCAAACACAGATTAGAGATAATTGGTAAAGGGATTAAGCATCTAGGTACCTGTGCTCTATTTTATCTAGCTTACTCTCCTAGGGAGCCTCCTAAACATACATATATTTTTGTCTTAATAATCAGTTATTCACAAAAATCTCTCTTCTGGTTAAAACTGAAGTTTCTAAAGCTAATATATTTCTCATCATGCTATTACGTCCAGAGAGTGAGCTGGTGCCCATGTTTCCAGCTCATTCCACCAGTTCCTTCTTTTTAAAAACAGAAAAGGTGCTTATTGCTTTACCAAGGAGGGGGCTTGGGCTATCTCTAAGACTAGTGTAAGATACCAGAAATTGGTTCCATTCCTGCCTCTGCCCAAAGACTGCAGACACAGACTGCTGGTTGGAGCTGAGCTGGCAGTTTGAAGCAGGTGACATAGAACTGGTGTGTTCTTCCATTCGGTGACTTCACATAAGACATAGCATGAAAAGGTCCACTGACATCCAGAGAGCAAGATGTCGGATATCCAGCTCTCCATTTACATTCTTAGAAACCACTTCGATGGCTTCTACCCCTCCTCCTTACTCCACAGATAAGAAAGAAGAAAGCAATCTGGAAAATTACAGATACATGTTTTTCTCCAAGGCTCTTATGTTGCTTATTAGATAAAGTCGGCTTCATCAAAACCAATTACTCTTTACTTTCTGAACGTTTCCTTCCTTTTTAGAGCTGTTGTACTTGTGCCTTTTCAGAGAAAAGCAACCTCTTGGCCAGTAACTGTGACTCTCTCAACTCTACTGGCGAGGAAGAAACCCAGAGTTATCTGGGAGGGGAAAGGGTCCTAGAAAATCAGTGTTCTTACCTCTAAAATTTGCTCAGTATGCATGTATAAGTGGTGAGAGCAGAATAAAACAAATCCCCAAGGAAGCACTGAAGGGGAAAGATGAAAATGTTGAGTGTAATTTTAATGAAAAGGGTTTGGGGAAAGGACTAGAGAGGGGAGTGGTTAGGAAACCTGGCTTAGACTCTGAAAGACCTGGACTTGGCCACTTAAGTGTGTGACCTTGGAGAAGTCACTGAATGATCTTCCCTGACTAAAGGAGTCTGTTGCCTTCTCTGAAAACGGGTGATAACAGTGTATTGTCTTCAGGGCTGTTATGAGGCTTAAATGTGACAATGCAAGTGAAGGGCACATGGCATCTGCAACTGGCGCTATTATCATTAACCAGTTTGCTTTTCTTTGCACGTCATTTGAAAATAACACTATCTGACAACTAACATTTATGGAGCACTGACTATGACTAGGCAGTGCGGAGCTTTGGGTTTCATAGGCGAATTAAGTATTGGGTTGATTATATTACTAAGTCAGCCTTAAATTTGGGAGTATTAGTACTTTCACAGATTAAAGATTGAGAAAACGCCTCCCAGGAAGGGTTTAGTACAGTGGCCAACACAGACAAAGCACTCTACAAAAGGCAAATATTAATATCAAGGGCAAGCCCTGTTTGCCTTGGTAACAAGGAGGAGGGTGAAAGTGTTGACCTGAATCTGTTTCTTTGCCTCCCCCATTTAGCTGCATCCTTTGCGAACAGCTCTCCCATGCCTGGTCAGCCCCTAGCCTACACCAGGGACTTGGCTCTTCTAGTGCAACGATGGAAGGACCCAGCAACTCAAGAGCTAGAAGGTTAAGGTGATTAAAACAGAGAAAACTGATCAGGCTAGGAGTTACCCCAGAGAGGAGTAACCGAAAGAAACCCTAAGGGGCTTGTGGATGCCGGTGACGCTATTTCTTGATCTAGATGCTGGTTACATGGATGCATTCACTTTGAGAAAACTCAACAATGTCTACAATTAAGGCCTGTGCACCTCTGTGTATGAATGTTACAATAAAAAGGTTAGAAAATAGTGACCACTTCTATCATCCAAAGCATAAAGCAGCCCTTCCTAAGCCACAACTGGATTACAAGCCCAACAGGTCAGTCACCTGTGGCAGCCAGCAGCCTCATCAGTTTACCCCATGGGACCTTAGAAATGCTATAGTTTTTTGGCAAGATTGGGAGGTACTGCTCTAAAGCAGGGGTCACCAACCACCCCCAGGCCGTGGACTGGTACTGGTCCATGGCCTGATAGGAACCGGGTCACGCAGTGGGAAGTGAGCGGCAAGCGAGCGAGCAAAGCCTCATGCGTATTTGCAGGCGCTCCCCAGCGCTAGCATCACTGCCTCACCTCAACCTCAGGTCATCAGGCATTAGATTCTCATTGGAGCACCCATTCCTGGTGCCAAAAAGGTTGGGGACCACTGCTCTGGAGTACCAAAGGAACGACATCTTCCTCAATCACACGAGTTTACCTTAAGGTTCTTCCTGTGTTACATGCCATTGAGTTGGCTGACTCCTGATGACCCTGTGAATGAGTGATGTCCACAATGTCCTGTCCTCAACAGCCCTGCTCAGCTCCTGTAGACTCATGCCTATGGCTTCTTTGATGGAGTCAACTCATCTCATATTCGGTCTTCTTTTCTTGCTGCCTTCTATTTTCCCCCAGCATTATTGTCTTTTCCAAAGAACCTTGCCTTCTCATGATGGGCAGCTTCAGCTTTGTCACTTTTGCCTCCAATGATGTTTTAGACTCAATATGCTCCAGGGCCTACTTGTCCTTCTTTCTGGTGGTCCATGTATCTGTAGCACTCTCCTCCAACACCAGGTTTCAAATAATCAATTTGATTCTTATCAGCCTTCTTCACTGTCCAACTTTCTCATCCATACATAGTGATTGGGAATACAAGTTTCTCTATCTAAGGTTAATTTTATTTACTCAGTTTTTAATCAGATTCTTTTATCCTCTTCGACAAGGAGAAAGTACACTTCATTTAAGGGTCAACACCCCTAGACTGCTCTTTACAAAACTGTTAGTCTTTGACATCATTCCCTATCTTACTAACAAGCAAATGTCTAGTACATCCCTCCCTCCTCCCTAACTTCCTTCTCCTACATTCACTGGAGGGAAAAACCTAAGATAAATCTCAGTCATCTATCAAGTCAATAGATATAACACAGACTACATGCTGTTTTTCTCTTTTAAAGTTTATTGTTATTTAAAAAAAAAAAAAAAACTTATACTTTTTACATTTTACATTCACCTCTCAGAGCATTTAATGGTACCAGTTAATGATGTTATTGTACAAAAAGTCCACCAGCTGCTTGAAATGGCTGCAAATTTTTTACCATGTTCTGGTATTAAAGTGGTTTAAACTCTTTGGAAAAATTGGTGTAACATTAAGTACTGAGATTTCAAATTCTCAGATTAGAAACAAGATTTTTAAATCAGGAGGAATTTTAGTAAAAATTCAAGGCTAAAGGGAAATGTTAATAGAAAAACAAAAACAAGAATAGTGTAAAAAATAGTATTCCCCCCAAGATAGGTAAAAAAAAAAAAAAAAAAAAGCAACCACCTCATGCAACCAACTCCCCCCTCCCCATTTCTCTTAGAAAAGTCACCCAATCCTGAACACAGGGTCTTTCACACAAATACAAGTAATATGATTTGTAGATCAGCCTCTGGGATCTTACTCCGGCCTTAGTTAGAAGTTTTTTTTTGTTTTTTTTTTTAATTAAGTTACGTTAGGTAGTTAGACATCCATAAATACTGGTATCCAAACAAATGAAAAATATCCTGGCTTTGGTATGGCTATAGAAATATGGAAATTCTTCAAGAGGACACTGTCTTAGGGACAGAGAGAGTGGCACACAAAACTCCCAAGAGGAGGTAAAATAAATATTGGGACACATCCGTAGCAAACACTGTGTATAATACTTGAGGCAAATGCCTCACATGAAACACATGTACAGGTTCTTCGTCAGAACAACATACACACAAGTTCTGGATCAGAATAGTCTGGACTAACCTATATCGAAGCATCACTTGCAGGAAATAGTTTGAACTTGGGAATTCATCTGGTGCCCTGGGGTCTAGTGAGACACAAAGACCTTCTGGAATAAGAATGGCCAGCTGGGCTAAAGCTGGCCCCTTCTCATTCTAGGAATCTCAAAGTGTGTTTCACCTTTCTAGTTAGTTTCGCCCATCACAAAAGCTCCGCCATCTCCTAAGGACGGGGGCTCTTCCACCCCTAGTCGCTACAGGGGCCTGTCCCCATGGTTGAAATGCTGATTTTTCATCTCTGGAGCAACCAAATAAAAAATCTTCTGGGATCAGGAATATAATTTACTGTACTGTGTCTCAAGTCTACTTCACATGTTCCTCCATTTTCACGATTTCATGATTTTAAGGATTGTGAGACAACTGAGGCGCAGAAGGCAATGATGGGGCCAAGACCACACCTAAGCATGGCCTCAAACACCCTCAAATTCACAGAGAAAAGGCTGAAGTGCCCAGACCCTGGTGTTCAGTTACTTCACAAACGCACAAAGGTGCTACCAGACAAGGCAAGAAAAAAAGGCAACTTGTTGCTGCTTCAATGCTGAACCCGCAACGCTCAGAGATATAATCCTTTAGCAAAAAAAAACCCAAACTTTGGTGTACTGTTAGGAAGACAAGACAACCAGTAAAAACAAAAACCTTCGATGGCAATACACACTAAGTATATCTAAATAATTTCCATCACAGAGAACTAGATAACCAATAGCTGCCTGCTATTATGGGATGTTACACACATCACAGTGACAACTGAAGCAAAACGGATCCTCTCTTACAGCCAAGGCCGCCAAGAAGAAATAAGAGGTGAAGGCCCTGTTGACTGTGGACTTGGTTCACTGTAGTAAACATCCTAGGAATGGGGGAGTCAGGGCGGAGAAGAAACACAGAAGGCCCAGGCAACTTTCGATCAACAGCATCATTTATCCTGTTTTCTAAATGAGACTCCAACACCATGGGAAAAAAATGAGGAAAAAATAGATTATAAATTAAAACAAAAATATATCTGTACAAGTCTTTACTCTGAATCAGTATGGTTTGGTCTCTGTTGAAGCCAGGACTTTGGAGGTGATTCATATGTCATTACAGCCCCCAACTTACTCTGAGGTGTATACATCAAGAGACAACATGAGGGAATGACTTGGGACTGAGGGAGTGAGTTACAAGGATCTCCTAGGATGTGTAAAGCCTACTGACTGCCTACAGAGACGCTAACACTTGCTCTAACTCCGAATACTTTAAAAAGAGCGTAAGGTGGCAACTAGGACATAAAAATCCCTACCACCCAATGAATCATTTCTCCAGTTATAGGAATGAGGGAAGGGGAGCAAGGAGTGAAGGGGAGTCTGTTTCATCTGAATATATTAGGAAGAGTGTAGATTTAGTGGCAGCCATGGCAGAGCTTTGTCTTTGACCTGGGCCAGACGTCCTAGAAGATGTCCTAGGAGGCTGACAGCGCCAACAACAAGGTTCCACGGGTTTGGAACGGCCAATGTGCAATGGCATCAGTGACAAGAGGACAATATGAATTATGAGTGAGAGTCTGTAGATCACTGATTATTCCACTATCAATCTCACCTCCCCGCCTTCCATAGATAACCCAGATAACCAGCCTGTGGCAGGTACCTCTTCACCTACTTGGGAGCAGGCGAGAGAAATGAATTACAAATGAAAATGTCTGAAATGACCACTTCTAGCTTGAGATAGAACAAATGTGTTTGAATAAACTATTTGCATTAGATAACATTTAAAATATGGTACCTTGAGCACATTACGAATATAAAATGCCCCCTGCCCCCAACCCCAATTACTTCAGTGCACATAGTACCTCAGGCATATCTTTCCTGTTGTTCAGCCAGTAGAATGGACGGCGTGTGCCAGATGTTACGCAAGGCATTTATTTTTCTGAGAAGGCTGAGAGCCAGGAGAATTAATCTCCTTCTGCTAGGACCTCTGCCCCAAGCTTCTGGGGAAACAGTGAATCGGGCTCAACAAGGGACATAGCTATGTGATCCACTAACCAGATTTAAAACATGAAAATGATTGTAGATTATATCCCTTTCTGCTCCTCTTCTCATGGTAAAAAGACCTAAAGATAATTTTCAAAAGCGATATCCCTTCGAACTCAAAGGAGACTTAGAAACACACACACACACAGCCAAAAATAAAGAAATAAGTAAATCAAACTCCAAGTACTCCTGTATAGTCTCATGGTGACTGTGGCTGGAAGAAGTCAAGGCAAGAAAGAATAAAACAAAAATGGAAGTGACTGGCCGCAAAAGTGCCTTGCAGAATCCACAACAGTGTTCTCCATTTTCCAAGGCCAAGGAGCAATTCCAAAGTTAAAAACTTTCTATTAAGAATAAAACAAAACAAAACAAAAACAAAAAAAAAAACACTCCAGAAATAAGATCAAGGGAAGTAGAGCACTGTAGAAAGTCAAGCCGCTGACCTCCGGCGGATCACAAAGAGCCCGCGCTGAAGCTGGCCCAAGTAAATCCTCATCTTGGTGCTGTCACTTGTCTTTCTCACCCAGATCTGCAAGGGAGAAGGAAAGGAAACAGGATGAGAGAGGGTAATACTGAGGAGTCAATCTTCCAGAGAATCAACATATTTGCATGAATTAGTGTGTGCAGAGAACTGGCAATCTCTTCCCATCAGCTTGTGAGGCCTTCCCAAGCACCTCCTCGGCCTTCGGCCCTCCTAAAGGCTGGCCGCTGGCGCAGAGAGCGGGCATCGGCTCTTGAACTCATTTCTCCCAGCCTCATCTCCCTTATACCTCTGATTAAAAAAATGGAAAGCACAGTGGTATTGGGTTCCGTTTTGGCCTTGATCTTAAGGACACTTTTTGATTTGGTTTGATTATAGCATTGTCAACATTTGAGATACATATATTCATGAACATAAACTTTCAATCGAATTTGGAATATTTTCCTTACCCCAAGGGACTTCCATATTATTTAGCCTTTCAATACTCTGGTTTTCTGGCAATTAAGGCTAATGGTTGTAACAGGAAAAAAAAGGAAAAATAAAAAAGATGCCCTCGAGTGAGCTAAGGCCCAATTAGAATCACAAGAAGGTTCAATTAGCTTAAGACAGCCCTTCCCTCCTGACCACATCATTCTCCCACAGAGGGAATCAGATGTCTTGCATTTTACAGGCAGGTGCATCCTTCTGTAGAACTGAGAACGAACTCGTGCAGCAGGGGGACTGCCAGAGCTGACAAGTGGACTCCATCGGCAGCAGCCTGGCAGCCAGGGATGGGAGGGAGAGTTGCCACGCCGGCAAGGGGCTGCTGCGCTCTGTGTGCCGGACACTGAGCCTTCTCATCCTCAGAACCCCACAGAGTAAAGACTACCGTTGCCCCACTTCATAGAAGAGAAAGGCTGAGGTTAAGTGTTGGATGTGAATCCTGGCACTTGACATCAAAGCCCCTTGCTCTTCTAAACCAGCCTCTGACTCTTCTCACCGATTCTCTCACATGTTTAATTAACATGCAATTAGATGAAGCCAAAAGCATAATTTTTTAAATAACTGCATCACACTCATATATGCAAGTACAAGTTTCCAGATATATCTTCTCCCTCCCCCATTCGGTTTTCAAATTTTAAAAAAGCTTATTTTCAGTTTCATCTGAATATCTTTATTGTGATTATTTAGCAACAGAGAGACTTTAAAGTCAAACACACTGGTTTAAAAATAAAGACCGCATATAAAGCTGAATCTCTAAAAGACTTTGCAGAACCATTTTAAATTGAAAACTGACCCCAAGGAGGGTTGAATTGGGAGTCACCAATTCAGCCTGTCACAACAGGCTCCAAGGCACCCACCAAATCTGCCCAGTCAAGTTATGCAAAGGCCAAGTAGCTCCAGTGTCACTTAGGATTTGACCTGAAAAATGGGCTGGAATACTTCCAACAAACGAGACATTTTTCCTATTACCAGAGCTGCATGCCTCTGATGCACTGAGGCTTCTCCCCTCCAGCAGATATGTCGGTGTCGCTGTTTCCTTGTCAGACCTTGTTGACACTCTATTATGTCAAAGGGTGACAATCTTCAACAAAGACAAAAAAATACCTAACTTGCATTTTATTTTCCTGAAAAATCTCGAGGTGTCACTGAGAAGACTGCTCAGTTCAGTTTGGGAACTAGGAGGCCACATGTGCTTTGTACAGCAGCCCACGTGGCCAGGCGCAAAGCTGTCGTGAAATCACGCCTCTTGCGGAAGAACAGGAAGTCTCTGTATTAGACCTCCTGTTCTGGTTCTGAGTTGGCTTGAGGTGACACACAGATCCTGAGCCCAAAGAAGAATGACATTCATTTGTCTGGAAGACTCTCGCTAACTAAGTAAATAATCACATTTGTGGGCATTTTCAATTCAGGAAGCTGGGAGAATAGAAAAGGCTCAAGTTATTCCATAATCCAGTTTCATTAGATTTACTGTGCACCGGCACAAATAAGTTACATAGGGCAGACACCTAAAAATCAATTTCTTTGCAGACACTGGTGGACTGATAAAAGATCAAGCCAATCTGGCTATTAAAGTTTTAAACACTTTTTAACTACTAACAATACACGCTACTCATTGCTGACATCTTCCTAACAAAGGGCCAGTCATATCATCTTTGAGCATAACCCTCTGAACAGACTTTAGAACCAGTCTCCATCCCACAGCAGCGGCTGGAGAAGACTAACACCTTAATGGCATGAGCCTGGTAGCTCACTGTTCAGAGGCACAACAGGACATGTCAAATTGGAGATGGCAGGTAAGTGCAGTGTGAGGGTCAGATTAGCCCAGCACCCATTTATTGAGCACTTACTGCATGCCAGACCCTGTGCCGGGCCTCATTACAGCCTCACAGTACGAAACAAATCTATCAGTACATACAAAAGCTCTAGAGAAATAACAAGACAAACATGGAGTATGCTCCACACGCAGGTTCCACTGTCAGTAGATAGTTACCTTAAAACCAGCAGGATTTGAACGCACAGATATCAGAGAGACTCGCCTTTGGTTCTTTCCTATTGTCTAGCTCGTGGTTCCCAAGTCAGTTACTGTACAAGGAGTTCACAGATACCACAAGGAATACACAAATCCACATATACTGTAGTCCAGCAAAGTTAAGGGACTATCATGGGTGATTTTGCCTATGTGTAGTTTCTGCCTGAAAGCACTGACTTTAGACTCTAACCCACACATAACACATGACTCCACTGTACTTTCTTGATGGCACTCATAATTTGCTTTCCTAAAGGGTGAGGGAGTTCAGTCCTACCTCATTGGCTCCAACAGAGCTGATCACACAGCTCAGTTTCTGGTTGTCCTTTGACTCCAGATAGATGGCTTGGCTCTTGTGGTACCTGCCAAAAACAGGACACAAGTTTATTTTTTAAACCACTTTACTGAAGTATGATCGACATGTAAAGAGTTGTACATTTTTAACGTATAAGACTCAATGAGTTTGGGGATAAATATACACCCATGAAACCATCCCACCATTAAGGACACAGACATACGTATCACCTTCTAAAGTTTCTCCCACCCTGTTTATTATGACCATTGTTTTTTGTGTGTGTATGTGATAAGAACACTCAACACAAGATCTACCCTCTTAACAAATTTTAAGTATATAATACAGTATTGTTAGAGGCACATATTTTTCAGAAAGGAAAGAAGGAGAGAAAGGAAGAAAAATGTAAGCAAAGGAGTCCATTTATATTTGAGAAAGAATCTGGATTTAAGGTTTAATTTAAAGGCTTCCATCCTTGGATTAGATTAGATGACCTAATCTTCTTCTAAATCTAAAAGTTATATTTCTTGGTCCCTCTACAGAGGAAAAAAGGGAGGCCAAGGAAAGCGCTAGGAAATTAACTCTATATTTACTTTTTTAACTACATGATCTGGTTCAGAAGTAAATTATAATTTTTTGAGTAAACCCTCTATTATCCCCCCAAAATACTGAAGGCTAGGTAGACAAAAACAAATAGATCGGCTTAAACAACTGTCCTGTTACTTACTTTCTATTTGTCCAAATAAGTCATTAAGAGAAAAGGCAGCCAAATTCAGCCCTTACTTTGGTCACTCATTCAACAAATATTCATTAATCACTTAATGACAATGCTAAAAGTTGGAGGCAGACAGTGAACAAGGCCACAAGGTTCCTGCTGTCATGGATTATAATACATAGTTGCAGGGAAGGGATTAAATAATCACGCCTGGTGAGCAGTAACTAGGTGACGTTTTTGAGTGTCAGACATGCACCCAAGAGTATGTAATGTGGCCTGGTCAGTCAAGAAAGATGCTTTGAATGGCACAGACAAGACAGACACTCCCCTTTCAGCCCCTGCATCTATTCTCTTCACCTGTGGGGCAGGAGATCACCTCTGACTTCTACAAGTTCAGAGACAAGGCCAAGAGTGAAAGTGAGGAAGCCAGGACCAAAGTCCAAATGGAACAACAGCTGCCACAGGATAAAGGAGCAGCTGCTAAATTATAAGAGTTGGAAACCAGCTGAGCTTCTGCTGGCAACACTGGCCCGGGCCAGCCCTTGTTGGGTCAGGCTCATTCTGGCTGCATAGATCCAGCTAAACAAACCCACTAACTCATGTAAATTCTACCAAAACTAAAACACACCTCCCAGCGAAGCACTGCATCTTATTATTTCTGTGGGGGAAGAAAGCAGACTCTGTTTTGCTGGTATGATGAAATAATCTACTGCCAAGATATCACAGTAAAGGGTGTACTTCACTCCCACAATGAGCTTTTTCCAATCTAGGTTCTTTAACCTGCTACTTAGTAGCTGAAAACTCAGGTTTCCAAGTCAACTTACTTCCTGAAAATATTGTTAAAAGAAATCAAATCATAAATGCAATTAGAACAGTGAGATTAGTTTAGTTCCAGCTTCAAAGCTGCTTTTGGCCAGAAATTAGTTGGTAAACTGGGTTAGGGAACCTTCATTATGCTAAATATGTAATATCACAAGGTTTCGAATTGTACAATATATGAGGAAAGGCTGAATTAGCTCACAGTAAAACTCGAACTGAGTTTCCCTCCCACATCTAATACTAATGTCTTGAGTAATGGTTAGAATAAAAGTACAGAGGGAAGAACATTGTTATTCTATGGGGACTGTGATTTATTAAAGAGATAAAAAAACAAAACAACAGGCAACTAGCCTCAAGTCATTCTGATACTATTTTCTAAATACTTTAATAAAGAAAGGTCACAGATATGGTGCAGAAGTATATTACTAGTGGAAACATACTCAATATACTGCTAAATAGAGAAAAAACACTATGTCCATTATGTTCCTGTGTTTATAATAAGACATATGCATGTTACATGTGCATCATACACACGCACAGAAAAAACTGGGTGAATTTGTACATTAAAGTTTTATAAAATATAAAATGTAAATTAAGCATGGTATTTCTTTGATTGCATAGCTTTTTTTCCAGAATAAACAGGTATTATTTACATTAAAAAGTAAATGTTTCCTTAAGTCACAGTACTAGAAAATACCTAAATAACAAAGATGGAGTAAAAAGAAAACTCAGTGTCACAAATCAATGTCTTAATGTCTGTTAAAGATAACCATTAATTCTGGGACTATTCACACAATTCTCATGAGATGTGTTGCATTTTCCTTCAGATGTCCTCTAAGCCCAAACCCCAACATACTTGGCTGTCTTAAAAGTGAACATCAGGAATAAACAATAGGATCTGGTCTACTGCCCCTGAGAAGTGGTCTGGGACTTAAGCATCTGGCCACCACCCCAGCCTGCCTGCTCTGGAATCACCAAAAGGTGGTAGCTTGAGTGTCCAGAATTGGTCACCATTTGCTCCATAGGAGAGCTGGCCAGCGTGTTTCCCAGAGCAGCCCGCTTCCAACCCAACGGACTTCCAGGTTCTCCTGAAGCAGAGTCTATAGACCTCCAGGGGTTTCTCACACATCACACAATAGTCTTGGGGAATCATTAACCTTGGATATCAAATCTATTAAATTATCCGAATTCTCCGAAAAAAAATAAGTCCTCAGAAATTAAAGTGCTCATATAGGGGGAGTTTTCAGGATGAAAACCAAAAAGTACATGACAACCTTAACATGCAATTTACTTTCCAATTCTAAAGAGTAATAAAAGAGCAGGAAAAAAATCAAAACATATTTAGACATAAGAAAATGATAAAAAGCAACATCAATAGAGCTAGATTAATAAAAACGTACATTATCACTTTTTCGCCAATTAACCCATTTTATAAGATACAACTCATCTCTGCTGAAAAAATACTTTAAACAGCCTCAGAGGACAAGCCCCAAATGTCAAGCTAACTTTATTACTTTATTACTAATGGAAATTCTGACCTGGGAATCCTACAATTAAGCTCTTAAAGCTTTGCCTTTACTATTAAACCCAATGAACTAGAATCATCACTACTATTATGGAAAAAAGCAATTTCTTTAGAAGGTGGGTCAAAAAGTGGGGCAGAGAAAGGGTTGAATTTAATTTTGTATCCTACTGGAAATCCTAATATTAATGTTTCATCGTCCCCCCCCCCCAAAAAAAACAGATCATGTGACAGCTATAGTATCTCAAAGAGTCCCAATACTCATTGTAAATATTCAGTTTTAACAGTCTTCTGTGTGGGTTGAAGGCTGGAGGGTTAAATGCACTCAGGCAAATGGGTGACTTCCTTTCTGATTTACATTAACAGCCCCAGATTAACAGTCTGCCAGCACCATCAGTTAGTTATTTTAAAGTATCAGCTACTTTCACAGTACTTTCTAAGAAGGGTCATTAGTCCAAATCAAAACGTGAGGAAAACTTACAGCAGGATATAAAATGCCTTAAAAGCAGTATAAGACCAAGGCAAAGAGAAGATGCTTATCTTTCAAAATGAAATGTAGCTTGATAAGTTCTCATGCCAAGATGGGAAGCCTGAATCACACTCATTTTGCTGAAGTCATTTAAAACTAAATGAAACATGTTTTGCCAGAAATACTGTTTCCCCAAAATAACTTCATACCACTGGAAAGAACATGAAGTGATTCAGTTGACCTCTGAGCCACAGGCAATGAATGCTGAAAAAGAATGAAAAACGGCAGCTGCCAAATGACAAGGACACAAAAAGCAAACACCAGAACCTGGTAAGACATGAGAGGCTGGCTCTGCACTGGTAAACATGCCAGCCAGGAACGCCCTGAACACTTTCCAAATACAGCAGGGAAGGGAGGGACCTACCTTTCAACAAATGTGTCATGAACTCTAACTGCCAAGACCAAAGAAGAGAAATGCACAGAATACAGAGAGAACAACAGTCTCGATATTTAATAACAGAATAAAAGCAATTCATTTAAATTCACTGAAAAAGTAAAATGCTCCAAGAGATCTTATATGAAAAATTTCTGACACCACTGTGAGAAAGACCGTGAAATTCCTTCAAAATGTTTAGGTCTAACACAGCAAATCTGACCAGTCTAGTCTGTCTACATTATGAAACACCAGTCACTGTGGATCCTTTCTTTAGAAAAACAAGACTTTTATTTTACAGCATTTCTCCCTCAAGACACGTCTCATAAAGTCTAAGGATTAAGCTTTAGAAAGAGAAAAATCCTAAGCAACACGGTTACAAAATGAACATTATTTGAAATATCACATGGCTTTAGGACTCATAGATCCATAAAAATGTTAGTGATAAATCTCATCATTTTTGAAGACGGTTCTTATGTGTGGGCTTGATCTTTAAAGGTTATTTGGTTTTCATTATTTGAAACATTTTTCATCTTCTTTGGCCCCTCAGTGTGTTGAGCTGTTAGAGCCTGCCACCTAGTGGTGATATGTACCGATAAGCAATATCAAGAAACACTGTAACTGGCCTTTTTGAAGAATGCCAAAGAATAACTAAATGAGAGGGGCAGAAGCCACAAAGATCACTTACACATATCATCCCTCATCATCCACGGGGTAATTAATTCACTGTAACCTAATACGTGCAACTGATTAATTTCAGGCATGACTAGATCTCTAAGTATTTTTGCCAATTTTAGGAGTACATTATAAGGTAATCAACTAACAATATTGGGATTTTTTCTTTAAGAAAGATAAAAAATTAAAAATAATCATTACTTTAATTAGGAGCTTTGGGTTAAATAAATTTATTGAAATTCAAAAGATCATTATATAGCCATAATAGAGAAAAAATACAATAACTAAGAAAAGCATTCTGCATATTACTAAGTAGAAAAGCAGAACACAAATACATGTCCACCATGATTTAAACTGAGCAAGAGTATGCCTGCATATGGATCATGAATAAAGGAATATATCAAATTAAAAGAGTTGTTAAAAGGTGGCATGACCCAGGGTAACTTAATACCTAGCAGAATGCCTAGATACAGAGCAGACAGTAAATGTTTGTTGAGTGAATAAATATGAGTTTTTAAGGTTCTTTCATATTGTTTTGCCATATTCTTCCCAATGAAAACACTGGCGCTCTGAAGGTTTCAGCCCGTCTTCAATGTAAACCAGTAAAGTTGAAGGATATAACCCCAGGTATGTTTTTTGGAAGACTCATGCAGCAGGATGCCATGTGAAGAGCATCTCATCAAATAAACAACACCTTATACTAACGTCTTAGACCCACAGTGCCCGTTAACATATCAGAGGACCCAAACAGTGCTACAAGGAAGAAATCCATTTATCTTAAGGAATATGGTCATTTCCCCAAACTCATTTGACTACAAAATTCTTTTTTCCACAGAACACATTAATTTTAGCACACAGGGGCAGATTTCAGAAGACGCAGAGGGGGATATAAGCCCTGACCCCAGTCTACAGGGGTGGCACAAAGATGTAATCCTGCAAAGTCTAGTACAGTAGCAGCAGCCTGGAGAAAGAAGGGAGGCCATCATCAGAAGAACATGTTTTTGGGAAACACTGACTTCAGAGATCTAACAACCAGTATCAATGAAAAGACTCCAAATACACTTTGAACCAGGGGTCCCCAATCCCCAGGCCATGGACCAGGACCAGTCCGTGGCCTGTTAGGAACCGGGCCACACAGCCAGAGGTGAGCAGCGGGCAAGTGAGCAATGCTTCATCTGTATTTGCAGCCATTCCCCAGCACTAGCATCACCACCTCAGCTCCACCTCAAATCATCAGGCATTAGATTCTCATCAGGCATTAGATCTCACAGGTCCCTAGCACCAAAAAAGTTAGGGACCGCTGCTTTAAATGTTATTCCACTTTTAATACTATGGACGTTAAGCAGCAGCCATGCTCTTAAATAATTCTTGATAATTCCAGCCTTCTTTCCAAGTGGTTCTTCTGAGACTCTTATGAGTAACTTATTTTTCCATAACATACCATCTTTTATCATAGTACAGTTTTCCATCTTCTATCCGGGCTTCAAATCTCTGCGCTGGAGACTCTGCAGGTGTGGCAGGCAAGTGTTCGGGAGAGGACGGGGATGCTGAGGAACCAAAGAGTTATTTCAATGGCTACGCATGTAACAAACGTGTGTCCACCAGCTAGCAAACATGCTTTAATTGAAATGATATTAAAAGGTGCTAAGAATTATGATCACCAAGTCCTTTCAATTGTAATACATGGGAATCCAATAAAATTCTTGTATAGTACATCTAACTTGATCCTTTAAGCAAACCTGTGAGGTAAGCAAGGGGAAGATTAACTTTACTGAACAGAGGAGAAACCTGAGGCTCAGGCAGGCTAAGGGATTTGCTCAAGGTCACCTAAAATAGTACTAAAACTCCAGTAACCATCAGAAGTGCAAGAATTAGGTAAATCTCTCTAAATTTATAAAGTGAAATAATTTTTAGGCATATTTATTACTAGATAGAGCAGACTATTTGGGAATGTACAGAGTCAAGCTAATATAGTGCTAATAACTATGGCAGGTTCAAATAATCTAAATTCACACACTTACTCGAACCCCTCCCCCATTCAGTCTTCATAACTGAGGACCTCTCTGTGGACCACAGCGGTCCTCGGGAGGAAATTATTTAAAGAAAGAAGAACCTTGTTTTCTTCCCTTGGTGAGTAGAGGGATATGTGAATAATCACAGTGCTTAAAACAAAACAAAAATGCCTTGCCAGTTCAGAATTCCATCTTACAGCCTAGCACTGACTCTCGAGTGCTGCTCGGGAAGGAACCACTGTGAAGACAGGGCCAGGCTCTTCTGCAAGCTGGAGCTGCCAGCAGCCTGCGTGTCCCTTCCCAGAGCCAGGCAATGAAATGCCACTGAAACAGCAGTGCCTAGTACTTAACTCCACAGAGCAAGGAATACTGAAAAATCCTTCTGGTTTCATTTTCAGAAATGGATGTATACTTAAATGTTATGGCTGCCAACACAGAAGGAAACCTTTACCAGCCAATCAATCAAATGTCTCTTTTACAATAAATTCTACGGAAAAGACAAAAATAATGAACACAGCAGGATTTAAAAAAATAATCAAGCAAGGGTGCACTTAAGGTTCCCTTCAATTTTCATGATGACTACTCTAAGGCAAATGATGTACATTTTATTTTGGGCAACAAGTCCCTGTCACGTATTCACATGCTTCTCCAACAACACGATAAAAGACTGCACAAATGTCAGTAATGTCAATGCACTTACCTGGTCTCTTGGGTGACTTAAGCTGTAAGAAGAACAACAACAAAAAATCTTAGAGACAATCATTTCAAATGCAACTTAAGGTGTCAAAGGTATCAGATTTAATAAGTAATGTGAACAAAGTAAAGCAGAAAACCACTGTAAGCCTAAACTTTCGAATAAATCAAAAAATCAAACTGTACCTTATTTAATGTTCTCAGATCCTCCATGATCTGTTCATCTGTTAACAAATAGTTTAGCTGGGGTGTTGAGAGTTAAAGGAATGTGTCTGAAGAATATGGTTTCCAAGCAAACAGAGATCAACAATATGGTACCAATATTTTAGAACTTACAAAGTGTGATTATGTTACATGAAAATTTTACAATAGCTTGCCTCTTAGAAGTTTTTGATTCTCTTATTAAGTGTCACGTGGTGCCAGGTATATAAAGGAATTTCACGCCCCAATCTTACAGTCTTCTATGATGAGAAGGCAGAATGAGATTCAATAGGTAACCACAATAATAGTGAGAGCACAGCATACAATAAAAGAATTTCATCCTGAACTTATAGTGCGCTTGTTCCAAAGATCTGAAGATTTCTGCATATAGACCATGGGGTTAATCTCCCTAGCAACTTAAATTCTCAGTTGTGAAGATAAAGGGACCTGAAGTTATGCCCTTTCCTGGTGGCAGACAAGTAACTGAACCATTTTGTGTAAATGGCTATTTATTATCTCCTCGAGAGGACAGAAATAATACTCCTCCATAAGTACTCTTCCCATTCTCGTTTTTATGAGTAAAAGGGCTTCTTTATGTCCGACTGAAATCTCATTTGCTTTAATTTAACAAGTTTACAACCCAGTTTTAGGGATACAGATAACTGAAACAAAATGCAGAAATTACTGTCTTCATTTTACAGGTGAAAAAATTAAGGGACGTGAAATTTTCAGTTGCCCTGAATCTCAGTTGCCTTGAGTATTAAAACCAGATTGAACTTTTAACACAAAGTATCTTTCCAAATAACTGCTCTCTATAAATCCCTCCCACTAAGAGCAGTAGCAACTGAAAACTCCAATAATAAAATAGCTGACCCTACATTCCAATCGAATATGACTATTTTCTGTAAGACAGTACCATGTATATTCTATCAAATGGGTAAGCAAAGGGTTTAGTAGTCTTAAGGAAAAACAGTGATCAAGGCTTGATGCAAATGGATATCAGGAGCAGGTTTTCTCCTCTTGTCTGGAATGGGGACAGGATCGTTTGGTCGCCTCCGCAACTTTCTGGTCATGATGGGTTTCACTTCCATAGAATCTGTGGCAAGAATGGAATGGGTAAATCTATCCAATTCCCACTGGAGTCAGTGACAATTTCTACAATATAAGAATACCTGCCCCACAGCCATCCAATCAGAACTGTTTTACTGGTACGTCTGGTCCACACATGGCTCAAACCAGATACCTTTAGAGAGAGGGTCTGTGCTTAGAAGATTCAGACCGGCTGGCCTAAGAACATCCCTCTCAGAAAGGCAGCCCAGCCCTGCAGTCTACCATTCCGACTGCTGCAGAAATTTCTCCAGCAACCTGAAAACCAGGGATTTTCTTCCTCTTCCCTCAAATTTAAAGAGGCCAGAGTCGTAGGCTCTTAGGACTGAGAGGAACTTTCGGGTCATCTCAGTGGACTAATCCTGCTGTTCCCACAGAGGGGGGGTGGACTGAAGCCCACCGGTATATAAGGCTCTTTTAGAGGCTAGTGGGCTCAGTGCCCACGCTTTTATATGAGATCATTTTGTAGCTACTTGGCTATCAAGAATGCTATAATGCTCAGGATAAAGGCCTCTTTCCATTCTTCTTGACTTCTCTCTACAGTATGACACTGGCTGCTAACTCTACTCACCTTAAAATCTCTCCTCCTCTGATCTGCCTCCTTGGGGTCCTTTTGGCTGGCTGCCCCTTAAAAACTGGTGATCTCTGGAGCCCAGTCAGCCTCAGCCTGTATCCCAATGACTCTCCAATCATCTATAGCTCCACCCACCCTTATGAATGGCAACCTATAGCCTACAACACCATATACTCTGCAGGTACCAAGCAAACTCATTTCTTCTGGTTTCACCTACCAAGGCTCCCTCCTCCCCAGTGTCTCGGGAGCATTGTCTTTCCATCCCTCCAAGCTAGAACAAAATCTGTCATCTGTGACTTGTCTTCCTTGACTCAGGCATCAAATCTACCAGATAATGGTAGTTCTTGGTAACTGCCTCTCAACTCCAACTCCTCATCATATCCTCACCTCCCTCAAAGTGATCTTTCTAAGACACAAATCAGATCATTTGCACCCCGCTCAAATATTTCAATGGCTTGCCACTCTCTACAGAATAAAGTCCAAGCCTCATTTCTGTTCTCCCTCACTTCACCTTTATTTGTGTGTGCTAGCTTTTAGCTATTCTGTTCCCCAAAAGGAACGTATTTTTTTATGCCTTCGAGCCTTTGCACTCTCTCTGTCCTCTCTGCCTAGCCTCTTCTTTTATGCCCAACAAACTCCTAAACAAAATCCCTCAAGAGCCAGCTCAACACTCCCCATTCTGTGACGGCTGCTATAGACAATAACCAGAGGATCTGTACAAACCTCTACTGCCAAGCGCCACACATTTTCCCCAGCAGACACTTGAATTCTACCCCAGCATGGAATCTGCCCCGACCTCAGTACCCCAACAGTAGGGATATCGCAGTTTCCAGTTGAACAACTAGATGAGGTCAAGCCTGATGATGAGATAGAGTCAACTTGTGATTATGCACACTATCAGCAGAGCAGACTGGATAGCCTTATAGAATTCAAATGTAGACCTTCTACTTCCACAAACTGTGGGATATCAGAGCATTTAATAAACGTGCATACAAAGTCTCAGTCATTTTTGCATGTTGATCTTAAGAATAGAAATGGGCAATACTGATTTTTTTCTCCTATAAAGGAATGGGGGTAAAATGATAAGAACTACAGGACTAATGAATATTCATAAAAGTGTACCTCGAAGTTGGGGTAGCTGGAAGGAAAAACACACAAGCACCTTTGGGGAAAAGGTAGAGTGGGGAGCCTTCTCCTTAAAAGAAATCTCTTGCCCTGTGCCAAGATGCCATCCTTTTCCATTTAACGGCCGGTGGGTCTGAATCCCTGCTGCAGCTGTGTGACCTAAGGCAGGCTACATAAGTATTCTGTCTCAAGTATGAAATGGAAATATCAATAATATTTCCCTTACAGGGTGTTATGAGGATTACATGAGATGATACATGTAAAGCCCTCAGCACAGTGCCTGCCAAAACAAGAGTTCAATCAATGCTAGTTTTTATTATCATACTTTCAGCCAAGAAAAAAACTGTACAAAAATCTTTTTAAAATGTCAAGGAGCAAAAAACTGAAATAGAAGTTACATATTGAAGACAACTGATGTCAACTGCATGGCTTTGCGACATTCAGACCTAATCTGGAAAACAGTGGGAAGGGTCTACGGCCACGCTACTTTGAACAAGCCCAATCCCGTCTGATCTCGGAAGCTAAGCAGGGTCGGGCCTGGATAGTACTTAGATGGGAGACCACCTGGGAAGACCAGGTGCTGTAGGCATAAGAAAATAAGGGATTGTAAACTGACATGGTCCTTGCAATCTGTGAGGTCAACCAAGGGTTGCCTCACCTAAAAATAGATAGGTAAATAGATAAATACATACATACATACATACAGTGGGAAGGGAGCCCACCCAACCCTAAAGAGCACCAAAGAAAAAGCATCTAGCACATGAACATCATAGAATGTTTTGTCCATCGAAGGTAGTGGCACTAGCCTGCCGGCTGCCTAGTTTGGTGGGGGTGGGGAAGGTGGGCAATACATGATGCAAACAAGTAAAGGTATAGCTAAAGATCCGGTAATAACCCAGTCCAATCATGGCCAATAAACCCAGAAAATCATAACTGCATCACTCACAAATCTGAAAATATAATTTCACCATTGAATGCAACGGTGAAAATCAATTAATTCATTAGCCTAGTCACAGCAATAACCTAATCAATTATATCCAAAAGACTACTTTGGCAGAAGATGCTCTGAAGAAGCCCCTAGAATTTATTAGCTTGTTCCTACCATGCATCCAGGAGAGATGATCAAGCAGGGAGCAGCACTGGCCAGTAGTCCAGGTGGAAGATGTGACTCAAGGGGAAGACCAACATGTAAGTATCACAGCCCCAAAACTACACAGTAAGATGATATCCTTAACTTACTTTGTTCCAGTCCCAGGTTTGCCTACTTGACTTCTAAGGTGGATTTTCATAGTGGAATGAGATACCCTGACCACCTGTGTCTGAGTCTGCTAAAGTTCTTACTATGTACTGGAAGCAACAGGCTGACAATTATAACATTGGTCTCCCGTGAATTTGGCCAATAGGAGTCCCAAAGGCCTCAATCTGGGTGCACTGACAAAAATCAAACTTCTGGAACTGAAACTTAGACCTTGGAGTGCGGCAGCCCTGGAGCAGGCGCCCAAGAAGGAAATCGGTATTCCTCTCAGACATGGTGCACCAAGCATGAAACACCTCTAACAGGCTTACATCAGAGCCTCCCTGATCCAGATGACTCCTGTAGGATTGCTTCAGTTCAGTGGGGATACTATTTGCAGGATCTAACTGAACATCTAGCAATTAAACTAGGGAGCACATATGATAGAAAACACTGAACAAGCACCAAGACTAGGTACACAGCTCTCCTCCAAACCATCTCATATACACAACCTTTAACTATAAACCCTAATGCTCCACTCACCAGGAAGGAGGGTGTGAATGGCCAAGCCTGACAAGCACGGGCATTCCCCAGGCAGCACTGGGCATGCCAGTTAAGAAATGGGAGTACGTGGTATATACGGTGTATGCGTAGTCTTTACAGCCTAGTCCCTATAGAAAGATATTCCGGATAACGTTAATTATCCACAATTAACATACAATTACCATTCACTGGCTAGCCTTTTGTTCTGCACTTCTCTATGCCAATGCATTCACTCCAAGAGCTCACCTGCCACAGTGTGCCAACCACTGCAGTAAAAGCTTTATTCTAACACACTTCAACCATTAAAACAAACTCATACTTGTTCAGCTATTTAGAAAAACTAATTGTAGTGACTCAAAGGAACATCCTCAAGAAAAAGGAAGAAAAGCTACCACAGAATAAACACTAGTAGACTGGCAACTACTCCCAAAGCAGGGGCAGTGCAACACGGGGCCAGACCAGAACAAACGCCAGCGCACTTCATACCCCTCTCTAGTGGGTGGCTGGCTCATCGGCACCATAGATCAACAGTGCAGTGGCAATCGCAAATGGGTGCCTGGAGGAGGTGGGTGGAGGGAAGGTGAGACAATCAAGGCCAGGTCTTTGGAGGCCAAACCAGAATAGGAACAAAGAGACCAATCTCCATTAGGCCGAAGTTGCCCATCAGTCAGGGATGGCTTTTAGAGATTGAACCAATTGAACCCCCTCCTCTGCAACCTCTACGCTAAACAACCTGGATTCCACAATGGCAGCATCAGAAAAGAACACCCTGGAGAGACACCCACTCCACTAAAAATCCCGGTCACCTCTTCTATTCTCCCTCCCCAGATATCTGCATGGGAATCTCTTTTGAACTTGACTTCCAAGGTTCCCTGCTCATTGGTATGTTACACAGTGTGTAAAACTTACCGCTCCTACATCAGAACCACCACACATCCCTTAAAGGTTTTACACCTACATCAATAAACCACATATACCTTCAAGATTTTATAATCAGTGAAAACAAGCCTGTCAGCGTCTCCCTTTCTCTCAACACTGCCACACAGTGGGGTAGACACAGAAACTGTGTCAGTCTTGTAACACAGCCCCTTGAGGACACAGACCTTCGATATTAGCCTCATTCTATGAGTCACTTAGAATCACATGGATCCATGGTATATGTAGGAAGTGTGTATAATGTGGTAGTTAAGAAAAAAACACTTGGAATCAGACAAATTCTGGCTTAACTACTATCTCAATGGGGGCACTTTGAGCAAATGGCTGTTTCTCTGAGCCTCCTTTGCCAAGTCAAGTCACAGGGAGCTGCAGGAACTGAATCATGTTACAACGTCCCAGTCCTTAAGTGCTGACTGTGCGCCAGCGGCTCTTGAAAGCACCTTATAGGCACTATCTCAACTCATCCTTACACCAACCCTCCCTGGTAGGTTCTGTTATCTCTTTGCCAAACGAGAAAACCCCACCACAGAAGTAAGTTCCTGACAGGGCTAGGATTCACCCTCATCTATCAGCCTATAGAGACAGCTCTAATATTTTTATATAATACCTGGCTTAATGTAAGTACTCAGGAAACAGAACTCCTAGTTTGATATTATAATTATTCCATGGCTCCAGCTATGAATCTAGTATCTTCTAAAGAAAATTCATAGGCTTTACTGAGGTTGTGAATAGCTTCAACAGGGGCCTGAGGGTTGGAGGAAGCCCCTGGTGGGGCAAGAACTTGCAAAAGAAGATGCAGTAGCAGTTAGTGGGCTGTTGGGAGAAAAAAGGCAGCTGTCCCAAAGACAGGAAGAGGGAAAATGAATTAACAATGATAAAGCTCCCCACATTTTAAATCTCATTAAATCCTCATTGATTATTTGGGTTTCTTATAACCTTGGCCTCCACTGCAGAGAAAACTCACTCTCAGGTAATAATTCTACCTATAAACTCTGTTCGAAGTACGGTCTGACCAGCAGTCCCGGGAGGTGCTTAGATGCAGGATCTTGGGCTCCACTCCAGACCCCTGAAGCAGAATCTGCATTTTATCAAGACCTCAGGTGACTCATACACATTCAGACTGGGAGAGCACTGACCTAGCACCTAGGTTCTTTAACGACAGTACACCTTTCCACCTGCATGACCCAGATGCCACAAGTTCTCCACAAGTGATGAGATCCTCCCACTAATTCTCATGGAGGTCTGTAAATGCTCTAAGTCCTGTTTGGACTGAGCAGGTCACCGGATACAACCATTTCAATAATTTATTTGAAGTAAGCCTCTCATTAAGTCTCTTATTCAACTTTGTTTTTCAAGAGATCTCCATGCTGAACCAGAAAAGGAATTTAAGAAATCTATTTTCTGGGCAGAGCTAGGCAACACTGATGTCGGGCATCAATCCACAAAGGTGAAGTCAGTCACTCGATGATCAGAATGAAATCAGGCTTTTAATCCACTACCATAGCAGCACCATCTGTGGTATTGCTAATTATCCTTCTAGCTCCAGTGCCTTTTCTTTCAACACTCTATCATGACCTTGGCAGTGCTCTCCAACCGAGGGTACCAAATGGCCTGAGGAAGGACATCGGCACCTTTAATGCCCATGGCTAGCTCTGAGCACTTCTGTCATCTATTTTACTGCATTACAAATTATTTTCCTGCATTTATTTATCTTTTCTACCCTGGCAGGCTCAGTCTCAAGTCACTGAGGATGCCTCCTGTCCCAGTTAAGATTCTGGCTGTAAAACTGCCTGGCCAAACAATGTCTATTGCTTGTCAATAATTCGGATGCCAAATCACAGGTAAGGTGATATCTTTCCCTGCAGATGGAAAGTGAGCAGCTATAAACAGACAATATTTCCCCCTAGCCTAATGAAGGCTCCCAAACATCTGGTGGCTCTAGCAGAGAGCGATGAGGCATCAATGCCAGCCACAGCCACCGTCAGAGAAAACGGCGTGTAGGTCAGAAAACAGGCAGGCAGACTGGTACCAAACTAGGTACTGCAGCGTTTGCAGTCTAATTAAAAAAGCATTTTAACAAGAACGAGATGGTGCTGTCTAAAGATGCTATTTTAGCATCCATTCTCACCCAAGAAACATTTCTGAGCTGCTTTCAGAGGTCTTCAAGGAATAAATTCCTTTTGCCAAGTCTCTCAGTGAGGAAGCTAGCAGAGATTTTTCAAGAGTCAGACTCCTACTTGAGACACAACCACATCTTCATTGGTGTATCATGGGGATTGGAGCTAGAAGTTTGTGTCAATTGGGGAGGCCATGATGGTTCACAGCACCAGAAATACAGATGGGGAAACGCAGCTCTTAACTCTTCCTTTTAGTTTCAAAATTGACCCCAAGGACTTACATAAAAGCAATGCATTTCCTACGGACCCCTACTCAGGCATGCCAGAGCCTCAGTACCTCCGGAATATGATTATAAAAGTTAAATCATGGGGTTGTGCAGGAGGCATATCCAAGTGACCGACTCAGCACTGACTTTCCTTATGGTATTTGCTGATGGAAATTCTGCCAAGTTCCAAAATAGCTAGTTCAAGCCAATTCTCGTCCTGTGTCCCTCTAGGATTCATCAGTCCACATATGGCAACAGAAGAGTCGGCCCATATTGCTTCTCTTCACAACCTGCCGACTTCCCATAGGTGGATTACTAAATCCTGAAGGGAAGGGAGGGACTGGCTCTGAGTCAAAGGAGCTTTACCATCTTTACAGAAGAGTTCAGTTTAGCTACCCCTGCTGAAATTGTATCAACTCTTCCTAAAGTGTTCACAGTAACATCTGGGAGAAGAGCTCTAATAGCATAGATGATGCAGCCAAAAGCCTTTGTTCTCACATCTAGGTCAAAGGAAGACAAGGTCTTTTCTGTAATCAAGGCAGACTGAACAAAACAAAACAGAGGGACATAGGTAAGTAATTTGTGAACATAACCAAGACACGAATGGCAGCTGACCCAAGAATTAAATAAAGCATAAGCCAGAGGTTGCAGTTACTATTACAGGTCTACCATTTACTGAGTACCTGTCATGGACAGGGCACTATACTAGGCACTCATATTTCTAGCCACAATCCTGTGAGATAGGGTATGATCAGCCCATTTTATAGAGGGTTAAATAGGCTCAGAGAGGTTAAGTAGCTTGACTAAAGTCACACAGCCAGTATAAGACAGAACTAGAACTCTGATCTGTCATGTCAAAGCCCACTTTCCTTTCAGCTTGCTTTACTCTCATGAGGAACCAGGATGTAAGACAGAAGGAGTAACTAGAACGCCCCCCAGACACTCCCGTCAGAGCTCCCATACCTGCTGGTGCTTTCATACCTCCAGTCAGCTCCATAGTTAGCTTTTCATTTTCAATCATTTTCTTCTTTTCTTCTAATTCAGCAATCAAGTTCTCTTTCAGCTCAACCTTCTTGTCTTCAAATTCTTTCACTGCTGCCTTCTTTTCTTTAATGTAATTTCTTTCCACTTGTTCAGTCTGAGCAAAAGAGAAACAAAGGCTAGAGGTACATGGCCCTGGCAAACCAAGGCTCCGACTTGAAGTCTGGCTCTGCACTCAAGGGCAAAGAAAATACCTTGACTAGAAATATGAGAAATAGTTGCACTCATACACTTGTAGTCACAGGGTGTCTGGGAGCCAGTTTTCCAATGAATGCATAAAACTGAACCACAGCATGTCTGCTTGTTTCTGTGAATATACCTCACTTGCTACTCAGGTACATCCTCTCTTCTCCATCTAATGTTTTATGGCTTGTATGTTAAAATAGAATGTAAATTTCTCTAAAATAGTAAATAAACCCTTTTAAAGACAAAATTTCAAAGAAAAATTAGTTCATTCCAGATGATACATCTATAATTGAAATTAAGCATAAACAACTGAATCACAATGGCATGTTACCATATTTTTTGGTACTTACAGTAAGATAAAGAGTAGAAGACCATTTATTAGATATCTGAACCCCAAAGTATTTAAACACTGAAATTATACGAAATAAAAATTGCAAAAGCACCCATTTTCTAAATCTCACCACTGCATTAAGTGAAGAAGCAGAGGCTTTATGATGGGCTATGGCTGTGGATCGTGCAATCCTTCAGGCTGTGACCATGTGTGCTGCACTGACTTCAATACTAAAATGGTTTTCAATAATGTGGCTCTGATAAACCATGATGTTTTCACATTCATAGGTGGCTCTGACAAACTCATGACCACACAACACACACACACACACACCATCCCAGGAACAGTATATCATTCAAGATTCAGGCTGTCATCTCTGTACCAAAGCACTATGTCTCACACAGAACCAGCACTCATAAGTCTGCTGAATGAAAGGAAAAATTTTAAATCCATCTTTCCTACTGACCTAGAGAGTTTCGGCTTAAAACTGAACTGTTGAGTCAATTCAGAAACTGGGCTGTTCTGAGTATATAACAAATTATTAGCCCATTATAATTCAGACATACTACCAAATGGCTTTAATGTGAGATCAAAGTCAACAAAAAGCAGTGAGGGGTGAGTGTTCCCTAATCCTCTGTGATAAGGACAGGGTGCCCAACAAACAAATGAATAGAGGGAATTTCTGAGACCAAATGTCTTTTAGTCAAACAGAATAGTGATTGAAGACTTCCAGCTGGGGGCTTCCCAACTATCTGTTTGGTGACAGAAGGAAAGGCTACCGACTGGGTAAGCAAGATTCCAATCTCAGAAAGGGCCTGCAAACCCAGAACATACATGGTACTTACTTCCAGCTGGAGGAAGAGTTCTGAAAGAGATAAAATGTGCAATTAGATTCGCTAGGCTGTGTCACCTTTCTAGACAGTATGTTAGGATTCATTTAGAAGCAGTAATTGCTTTCTGGAAGCACGGTTACCCAGAGCAAATGTTTTCATCAGCAAAGTGCTGATATACATGAAGGGGAAGGATGCAAGAAGCACTCAAGTCTAGTTAAAAGTTGGCCCTGAACATAATCAGCTCTGGTGGTTCTGCCCAAGGGCAAAAACAAGCAGCAGGAACCAAACTACCCTGACAAAATAAAAATAAAAGTGACCCCTTCTTTCACTCAAAACATACCCTCTAACAGTTCCACAGGGCAGAATGGGTCAGGAAGTAACAGTGCACTTACTCCAGAAGCAGAGTCAACACTGATGTCTCTACAGCGTTCTACGAAGGGCTCTGCGTGGTAAGGATGGACATTCCCCAAGAATTTAGAGGGCAGAGGTTCTGAACCCTCCTGGGCTTTCCTCTCAGGCCACCAAGCCTATGCTCGTACCCATGTCTCCACCAGCAATGCCCTCTGGTCTCTCAACGCATTTCCAAGTTTCAGATTCAATGCAGCCTCCTTTGTGAGGCCTTTCCTGAGGACCCTTCACTCACCAACCTCATCCCAGAAAGCTAAAAGTATCCACCCCACCGTACTGAACAGGTTATTTAGCCCTGTGTGCCGGGAGATTAGCTGTTTACCCATCAGCCTCTCCCCACTGCTAGATTGTAACCCCCTCTGTACATCCAGGTCTTGGAACAAAATAGCTCCACGGCTTCTTTCCTGGGTGACAGTGTGGCTGCTGTATACGGTCCACAAAGATTGCTGGTGGACCAACATCTCCAGCGGATGCTGTTCACATTTCACTGTAGTCTCCTTTGCAAACCTAATAAAACCAATGGATCCATTCCTTCATTTAAAAAAAAAAAAAAAAAGCACATATGCACATCCACACACACTTCATAAGATTTTGAGAGTTTCAAGGACTCCAGATTAAGAATCCAGAAGTCAAATAACAGTTACTGAATGAAAATATTAATTGAGGAAAGGGACAAGCCACTCATTATTTTCTAACCCCCAGAAGCCCTGGTCACAGTGGCACTGGGAATCTCTGGGCACATGAACCCAGGCACACTCAGCCCAACATGCTCGCTCCTGACTGCTTCCGATTAAACCACGCACGAACAGCCCAGACAGCTGAAGTTTGTGCCATTCTGAGAAATCACACCTGCACCAAGTCAAACTGGCAATTAGCACTCAGAGTTGGTAGTGGTTGTTTTAGTTAAAGCAGCCAGACAACAGCCACAACTAAAGCAGGTGGATTATCTCTGCAAGAAATGTGCTCTTTAAAGCTCAAAATGTGACTGATTTTAGGAACTCTTTTGCATCTTATAGGGGCGGGGTAGGGAGGGAGGTATGAATAATCACATCAGGACAGGATTAAGTAAGGAAAAACAACTTAATATTCACCCTGTAGTTCTAGTTTAAGAAAAATGGCTCACATCAATATTCTTTCCTTATATCTTAAACCAATTCCATGAGGTAGGTTTTTCTCTACAGAAGGGGAAACTGAGGCTCCAAGAGCAAACTCCTGTTTAAAGGTATAAAATCTAAAGTGACAGAAGACCTGGAACTAGGACCTCACCTTATACCTCCTTTCCCTGCTAAAAGGGAACTCCAAGAAGAGGGATGAGGATTTTAAAGATATCTCCAGGAGATACCTCAGGAACTCGGACTGGAGTTGGGGTAACCATAGGGGCAGACAGAATGTAGCTGGGCAGGAGGCTAATGGATATTTAAACTGCTATTTCCATCTTCCCAGCACCCCTCACACCCTTTAGCTCCTCGTCTATCTGTTGGTATACACTGGACATCTACAAACTGGAGGAGAGAAGGAAGGGTTCCATTGATAGACAACTGGAAAGTCACTGGATCAGAAAGGTGGAGTGCAGCAGCCTGGGGGCGGGGGGCACCCAGACCTCATTTTAAAACCCAACATTACTTTCACCACTGCAGGAACAAACACCATACTGGCACTCAAAATGCTGGCTGATGAGGAGCTTCAAATTTTAACACTTACACAGGTTTCCCATAAGCACAGGAAACTGTGTTTACACACTTTAAATAATCATCACGTCTTATTTTTTGCATGATTTTCTATTTAACTCATAATGTTCCTTCATTTATACATTTGGCTATCTTCTGTTAATGAAACAGTGAATTTCTTTAAGTCAAGAACGATGTATTACACTACTTTATACTGCTTACAGAGCTAAGAAGTAGCAGATGCTCAATACATTTTTGTTGAATGAATACATTTACTGTATGCTACAAACCAAAAGCATACTTTTTCTCTAAATGCTTATAATACAACACTTGAAAAAACAAAGAGGATACCCCTTGCTCTCAGAGCACAAAATACCAGAAGTAGCAAACTCAAACCAGGAGTGAAAGTATCTACAATCCTTTTCCATGTCAGCTCCTTTAATCATCCATTAAGCCAGCCACAGAGACATGAGAATGTGCAAGATGACTCCTGGGGCATCAGAGAGGATAACCTAACTACAAGGAGCCACCACTAACAACCTCGTCTACTGGCCATCCATTAGCCACTGGAATAAAGACAAACCAGTTTTATATAAGTGAACCTCTGAAGTCTCTCTTCCCTAAAATTCTCCTCCCAATGAGGTATTCGAGATACATTTTGAAGACTAGCTCTTTTGGTCACGTTACACTGATGACTGGCAAAAGGAGGAAAAACTGAAGATGATTTATTTCCATTTAAGATAAAGCCTTACCTGCATTTCGTATCCTCTCTTTATACTGCTGATCTAGTTTTTTCATCCTCTTCTGATATTCCTGTAATGTACCTGATTTTGAGATTTACAAAATAAAAAGTTACTTTAAAGTTCTGCTTTCCATTTTGGTTCCTAAAATTATTTTCTAGTACCAACAGTGACTGTCTCAGTAACATCAGAATGAAACACAAACCAAAGAAAGGCATACAGAACTAACTGGACTATGGCTCTCAACCAAGACACAGAGTAGAAATCAACCCAACCTAGTGGATTAAGACTAGTGAGAGGGAAGAGAAAGATGCAGGCATCCTCAAGTGATTCTTATTCCCTGCTGCTACAGTTTGAGTCAATGGACTTCTTTCCTGGAAAAACCTCATTCTCTTTCTGTAAGGTCTAGATCAATGCTGTCCAACAGAACTTTCTCTGCAATGATGGAAATGTCCTACATTGCGCTAATATAGCAGCCACTAGTCCCATGTGGTTACTGAGCACTTGAAATGTGGCTAGTGCAATTGATAAACTGAACTATTAATTTTATTTAAATTTAAAGTCACAAGTGGCTACTGACAATACTGGATAGCTCAGGTATAGATTCTTACTGAACCTTTACTCATTTCATTGCTAATTATGAGAGGCCCAATTACTGTGGGAAGTGTTTCCTGATCATAATGCTTTAGTAGGATATTTGAATGGCATCTTTTTCAAAATCTCTCACTCGACCATGCCTTACAGAGTTGCTCAAGTGGAATGTCTTTCTGTGGCAATACTTCTACGACCATGAAGAGAAAAAATAAAAACAAAACAAAGATGTATGACTGCAATTCATGGGAACATTTTTCACTATTAAGCAGAAATCAATAGAGGATGGGCTAGGCCAAGCAATAAAATACTTGGTGGAAAAGTTGTTTCATTGATGAGAGACTCCACAAAATGAAGCCGGAGCTAATGGCAGCAGCTAAGTGTCCCTGAGTTCTCACAGTGTGCCCAACAGTGCTAGTCAGTCCTGGTACATGATCTCATCTACTTTCCTTTTCTTCGTTTTGCAGACCAGAAAACGAAGCAAGAGAAGTGATGTGTCCAGGGTCAAATTTCTAGAGAGCAGTGAAGTTGGGATCAAACTCATGATGGGACTAAAGAGCCTGTGCGCTCAACCCCCGTGCTGATATGCATTTAACAGGAAATAGCATTTGACAAGATACAATCCACTTTTAACTTACCAAGGTTAAAAGAGAAAACATCATAAGGATAACCTATGGTTCATTAGCATTTATTTAAAAATAGTACAATTTTCTTATTTTTTGCTAACATCGCTCCTAAAAATATCTAGCTTTAGGGAGAGTGATTTTCAGTTCATGCTCTACAGAAGGCCCTAAGTGAAATTACAAAATAGTTTGAAAATCATCACTTTACTGGCAGAAGTAGCAAAATGTATACCGGGACAGCTAATATCAGCCCCACCAAATTTTAAATCACTCCCAAAGAGAAATAAAATACACACGTTTCAAAGGTTTGTAATATTAAGAGGTATATTTAGAAATGAAGGATTAAATCATATACCAACCTTCCTGCAGCTGCTGCAACTGTCTCTTGAGAGAAGCCAGTTTATCCTGATACATCCTACAAAAAAAAAAAGCCACACTGAGAGACAAAAACATTCAATACTCAATTCCAAAATAATCTACACACAGAAATTACCTGAGCTGTTATAGGAATGTCAGCAATGTCCTTTAGGAGAGAGAGAAAACTAAAGTCTGTCAGATGGTATAAAATGTACCAGCAGCTAAAAGGATCAGAAAGGAACAGGGATTCTAGGTTTCTTGAATCATATCTCAATTTTTAAGATTCTATGTTATCCCACCTTTAGAGAATCAGTCTAAAATCTACAAAGATGAGGATATGCAGATTTTAATAAATAAGTGACAGTGACAAACAGGCAAGAACATATAAAGAAAAACTGAAAATGTGGCACCATTTTCTTCTGGATTTAGAAGCATAAGTAACACACACCCACACGCACAAATGTAGGTAAGGCATTAGACACAGTTCTTATATCAACTCTACAATTAGATTATAAATTCAAAAAGAGTAAGATTAGCATGTTTTTCTATGTAGATAACATAGCTGTGTAAGCACTAAGTTAATAAACCTTCATGTCATTTTTAAAACACTACTCTTTTAGGATCAGAGAAATAATAGTAATTCAGTAACAGAAGTTAAAATGCATAATTTATTTGCAGCCACAGCTGGATAATACACAGCGCACACAAAGCAAAAGAACCTGGCGTGTTATTTTTTTCCCCCAACACCAAATGGATTATAGGCAATTATACACTCTGGCAAGTCTATTTGAATGGTGGATTCCACACATAAATCACATTTCAGCAATATTTTTGCTTCTACCTGAAAAACATTCCCAATTTCACAGCGAAACAAGATTTACAACTTGAAAGTAAAACACTAACAAATAACAGACACAATAGTCTTCTGATTTGTCAAGTAAAGGCTACAAATACAATCCAACTACCTACAGGTTGAAGAAGGAGGCAGAATCTGAGAATTACTCAGGTCTGATTCTTTTAGGGAAAATTCTGATGCACTATCAATGCTCATTTTCAATCAGAGAAGGCATTTGATTTTAATCAAAATTATTTTATATATCATCAAAAATTAAGGGGCATATTCAATTAAAAGGCAGTCCCTAAAGAATGCTTAAACTTATCAAGTATAAGAAGGAACAAGTGTGTATACTGCACACAAGAAGTCAGTACTTGGAGCCCAGTGTGTTAAATTTTCCACCACAATGAGTATACCAGACAATGCCTTTGAATTCTGAATCTGTCTTTGAAAGGGAATATTAACAGATTGAAGAAGTAAATAGCAACAGAAAATTCAGATTTGGGAAAAGTACAGGTATGTGAAAATACATTTCAGATAGGTCAAAATAAATCGGTAAAAAGCCTTGAGAAATATTTTTTTTAAAAAATGCAGTTTCAAGGATGAAGCTGTGAGAAAAATCACATGAATTATTAAAGTAATCCTTTCTTCGGCACTACCCAGATTTAGCTGAATTACCCCTTGGGGTCCCAAAGCTTGAAAAGAATGTCAGAATCCAGAGGATGGTCATAAAAACATTTGCAAATAAGACCTATAAGGAAAGAAATGTGGACTGCCTATAAAATTCCAAAAGTCAAATCAAGAAGAGCAAAATACAATCAACAAGTACTTCCTGTGTATGTGTGTGTGTGTGTGTGTGTGTATGTGTGTGTATGTGTGTGTGTATGTATGTGTGTGTATATACATATATATATATAAAATTCAGTCTCGCACCTGTGTTTATAACAGTGAGTGGTTTTAATTCCTCTGGGCATATTTAGTTGAAGACGATGAGAAGGCATGGGTGTGGATGTATGATAAGTGGAAAGGGCACTGGACCAGGAGTCCTACTCTCCTATCCTGGTCTCCCCCAGCTCTCTAGGAATCTAACTCACCATCTAGCTTGTAATCAGTGTTTGGTGGGGTCACACCCATTTGAGAACCTAGCGGCTGTGAAACACCATTTGCTCTGACCAGTGGTTTTCACATATAAAAAATGATAATAAAGTGGGAACGGTTCTCTCCTGTTACATGGCCTTATTCTTCTGAGATCATTCCTCAAGGTTCTTCTTAACTTCCCCTCAAAAGATTCTTATAACAGGAGGACTGTTTAAATGTGACAAATTTTCAGAGGGGACTGGTACATATATATATATACGTACATATATATATATATGTGTATATATATGTATGTATGTTTATATGTAAACATATATACATACATATATATATACACACATATATATACACATATATATATATTATATAGTCTTTGGGAACACTAAAGCCATACACACAAGGTCACTATAAAGATTTCCTTGTCAATTCTGCATTCCAAAAAAGAAATCTAAAAGTCATACTCACTGTTCTTTCATTTCTACATAGTCCTCTTCATCATGCTTTGCCAGGTCAGTTTCGCTAGCATCTTCGGTGTCTAAGTAAAATCAGAGAAGGGTTTGTTAAAATCATAATTCATAGAGTTGGTATCACCTGACACAGTGACACTTTAAATAAACTTCTATATAATGAAGTTCTACTCAGTGCAGGCCTGTGTAAAGCCACCAATGAAAAATATTACGGTTACTTCAAAAAAGAAAATGCCATTTTCCACGTATATGCAGTCAGATTTATGCAAAGAGCTTGTCCTTATCAGAAGTGCAGCCAGAGAACAGGGTGCATCAGACACTGGCAGTTACAATCAAGGCTGCTACTTCTGGAGAAGCAGCACTGGCAGTTCAGGAACAGATATGAGTGTAACACTGGAAAACTAGGCAGGCAAGCCGTGATCACTAATCCAAAAGCAACTTAATACGTACATACTCTTCTGGTATATGCCCAGTTTGAACCCTTAACAGATTTTTACCTCTCATCTATACAAAGGAATCCAAATCAATGAACCGAACTCTAATAATTAAAATATTTTCAAAGTTACAACTAAAATGAGACAAGATAATCAAATGGAAACTGTTTCAGAACATTTTAAACATTGTTCTTAGGATAAGCAAATGGCTGGAGCGTCTACATAATTTCAACAACTCTAAAGGAGAAAAAATTCAGTTTTGACTTCACTGCTCCCCCTTGTGAGCATGAAAAGCAGTACAAGCGAAAAATGATTCGCATTCAAAATTCTGGTTAAGCCTTGTCTTCAAATATAATTTAACCAAATGCAATTAGTTCCTTCAACTTTATATTTGCATATGCAGCTGCCTTTATAAAGGCTGTTACAAGGTCAATTCTCCACAAACCCTTCTCTCTTTCAGCGTTCCTGCGATGTGCCAGCCACCGTACATGGCACTTGGGGAACTCAGACGAATAAAACATACTTCACATTCTAGGCAGCTGGTCTAGCCTTTTGCTCCACAGCTCTATGTTGTGCCAAAAATATTCCACCCATATATATTGGTCTCCATCTCCTCTTTCTTCTGCCTTGTCCTTTATGTTCATCTCTCTCCTCCTCCAGCCACCTCCTTCCTCAATCCCTCTAAAAGTGTTTCTCACGCTTGCCAAACTGTAAAGCCCAGTTTGAAAAGCAAAGCCCTGAGAGGCAGGAATGATAATGCCAATAGCATGGAACTTAAAACACACCACCTGGGCACTGTTAAGCAAATCCCCACCTTCCATCTATGCCTGTTTTCTCCGGTGGTGGAAACATCTCCAGAGTACCAGGCTTTAAAGTACCAGCACAATACTTCATGGATTGTCTCATTTATAGTCCTCGCACCTACGCTGGGAGGCCCTATTACAAGTTGGGGAAACTGAGGCTCGTAACCTTAAGTTGTCTCAAGTCAACAGCCGGGTTAAGCGAGTCAAATTTAGACCTAGCTCTGATTCTAGGTCCCATTCTTTTAGCCAACTTGTGCGGCACTGCCCAAAGCAGGGCTGGCTAAAGCATTTCCTCGGAGTAGGGGGTAAAGAGTAGAAGGCGGGGGGGATGGGAAAGCAACTTGGGAAATAGGAAGCCAAACTGGGTTTTACTCTAATCCTCTCAGGAACTAAAAAAGCAAGGGTATTCAATGGAAGGCTTTCTCATTCCAACCAGTGAAGATCTGAGGCTCAACCAGAGACGGTGGGGGGGGAGAGGGGTAACTGTGACAACAGCTCCCTAAGTCCCTCCTTCCCATAACCGTAGGGTACAACGTACTCAGAGCTTCCCTTTGCCCTGCACAGGTTGGGGTAACTTCCCGGAGGCGCGCTCCTTCCAGCGGCCCCTCCGGCCAGCCCAGAGGTCGCTCCGCCCCCCTCCCATACAGCTCCATCCCCTCCCAGAGCGGTCCCACCCCCCGCCCCGGGCTGCCCAACGAGCTAAAGGACGCGCCTTCGTCCGACTCGCGGCCCCGGCAGCTGCGCTCGTCGTCCTCGGCGCTCTCCCGCTCTTCGTCCTCCTCAGGGTAATACTCCGGCGCCGGCGGGGGTCCCGCCGGGGGCGGCGCGGGGCCAACA